TTATTAGTGAAGAACAAAAGTGGATTCATTCATGGAACTATATCAAAACCGGAAGGTACTGATGTTGAATTGGTTAACTCACTGATTTGAAACAATAACATATTTATTTCATGGATCTTCAATTCTGTCTCAAAGGAGATATCAGCTAGCATAATATATGCTAATTTAGCCTTTGAAATCTGGAACGATTTCAAGGATTGGTTTCAACAGAATAGTGGACCACTCATTTTTCAATTGAGAAGAGATTTGATTAATCTAACTCAAAATCAAAGCACTGTCAGTACATACTTTACTAGACTCAAAACTGTATGGGAGGAGCTAATAATTACTGTCCTAACTATAGTTGTGGTAACTGTACCAGTGGAGGAGTTAAAGAGCTGAATAAGCATTACCAAATGGACTACATAATGTCATTTCTCATGGGGTTACACGATTCATTTTCACAAGTCAGAGGACAACTGCTATTTATAGATCCTTCGCCTCCAATCAACAAGGTTTGTACCTTGATCTCTCAAGAAGAAAATCAGAGAAAGGTTAGCACACAACTATCTGATGGACATGATTTGAATGGAGTTGCTGCTTTTATTGTCAAATCTGAAAGTGTCAAAGGATCAGCCGGATTTGGAACTTACTTTAATAGTTCAAGACCTGGAGTTATTAGAAAAAAGGAAAGGCCTTATTGTACACATTATAACATTCATGGTCACTCAGTAGACAAGTGCTTCAAGATCCATGGATATCCACCAGATTATAAATCTAGATCAAAGGATAATTTCAAAGGCAATGCTGGTTCAAATTCTATCAATCATTTTTCAACTTCATTTGTTCCACATGATGATGGTAAGAAACCTGCTATTGGGAGTTTTGTTCAGAGTTTAAATCCTACTCAATATCAGGATTTGATGTCAATGTTATCTGCTGATCTGAATCATTAATGGCTCTAATGTGACATTACTTGATCACACACAGATTCCAGTCAGATTGTGTAGTGATGTCAAATTGAGTCCAAAAATTACATTACGTGATGTGTTATTTGTATCTCAATTCAAAATCAACCTATTGTCAGTTAGTGCCTTGACCGTTGTTTCACAACTGTCATTTAGTTTCTTTCGTGATGGATTCATCATCTAGGAAGCCAAGACCAAGAAGGTGACTGGCAAGGGTGATCAACTGCAGGACTTGTATGTCCGTGATACTAAAGCCTTAAATTCGTTTCTAGTTCTTTTGTTAACAATGTATCTGTGCATGTATGGCACAATAGACTTGGACATCTTTCTTTTAGAAGATTGGACTACTTGATGAGCCAATTGATGTGTGATTTTAAAAAGATGAATAAACATATGCCTTGTTACATTTGTCCTCTAGCCAAATAGAGCAGATTGTCTTTTAAATCACACAATAGATTATCAGCTAACCCTTTTGATTTGGTACATTATGACGTTGGGCCTTATTGTGTTACCTCACACTCAGGTTACAATTACTTCCTAAGTTTGGTGGATGATGGTTCGAGGTTTACATGACTTTATCTCTTAAGGAACAAATCTGATGCTAAGGGTGTTATTCCTTGATTTTTCAAAATGATTGATACTTAGTTTAATGCCAAAATAAAGGTGTTCAGATATGATAATGCAAGTGAATTAGCATTTACTATTTTTTTTGCTGAAATAAGAGTGTTGCATCAATTCAGTTGTGTGGAATGACCACAACAAAACTATGTGGTTGAACGCAAACATCAGCATTTGCTGAATGTGGCTAGGTCATTGTACTTCCAATCACGGGTTCTTATCAAATTTTGGTCTGAGTGCGTCCTGGTGGCTACCTTCTTGATTAATAGAACCCTTTCCCCTATTTTAAAAAATTAGACACCATTTGAAGTGTTGTATGGAAAGGCTGCTAATTATTCTGTACTTTTGAGTTTTTGGATTCTTGGCATTTGCATCATCATTGACTGCAAATAGGAACAAGTTCCAGCCACAAGCTCGAGTTTGTGTTTTCCTGGGGTATCCATCTGGGGTGAAAGGTTACAAGCTCTATGATATAAAGTCTAAATGAATTTTCTTGTCACGAGATGTTGTCTTCCATGAAAGTATTTTACCTTTTTATACAGTCTTAGAACCTGACCATTTGGTGGATCCATTCCCTGACTTGGTCTTGCCTCTACCTTCGCTGGTTTTTCCTCGAGACTCAGCCACATCATCAACTCCACATAGGTTACCATCTAACCCATCTTTTGAAACTCACACTTTACCTCGAATTGAGTCTCCATCTCCTGTACCATCTTCAGCTCCATCTAATGAACCTCACATTTTACTTCATATTGAGCCTTTACCCTCTGCATCACTATCTCTTGATGCAACTTTAGATACTAATCATCTTGTTCAAAATAACAACCCCCTTATTGAAACCATTTCCTCATCTGAGCCGACACTACTCCATTAGTTCCCACACGCCACTCTGAAAGAGCCTATAAACCTTCAAAGTATCTAAGGGATTATCATTGTAATCTCATATCTCAGAAATTCTTTCCTGTTGCTAAACCACCTCACCACCTGCAACATTATATTTCCAATGACAATTTTGTTTTAAACATTTCCTCTCAATTTGAACCGCAATTCTATCATCAAGCAGTTAAATATCCACAGTGGCAAAAAGCTATGAAAGCTAAGTTAGAAGCCATGGAACTCAATCATACTTGGTCAATGGTACCTTTAGCAATGGGTAAACATTCTGTTGGATGTCGATGGGTTTTCAAAAATAAATACAAGTCTGATGGATCAGTTGAACGTCACAAAGCACGTTTGGTGGCTAAGGGATTTACACAACAAGAAGGCCTCGACTATTTTGACACTTTTTCACCAGTGGCAAAAGCCGTTACTCTCAAAGTGTTATTGGCTCTTGCAGCTTGTTCTAAATGGCATTTAGTTCAACTTGATGTCAATAATGCCTTTTTAAATGGTGACTTATTTGAAGATGTTTACATGGATAACCTGTTCCCAATAATGCAAGGCAGGGGGAAAATCTTGTTTGTAGATTACATAAATCTCTTTATGGTCTAAATAAGCATTAAGACAGTGGAACTCAAAGTTTACTCAGGCTCTTCTTCAATATGGTTTTTAGCAATCAAGAGTTGATTATTCTCCGTTCACCAAAGGTTCTGGAAGTGAGTTTGTTGCCTTACTTGTGTATGTTGATGACATTGTCATCACTGGACCCAATTCTCACGCCATTGATACATTGAAAACGTTCTTGTACTCTCAGTTCAAACTTAGAGACCTGGGAAGTTTAAAATACTTTTTAGGCATTGAAATTGCACGTTCTCAGTTTGGTGTTGTCATCTTTTAACGAAATTATGTTCTCCAGTTGCTTGAAGATTCCGGATATCTGGATAGTAAACCAGCCAGTACTCCTATGGATCCCAAAACATCGTTGAACAGTCTTGATGGAGACATCATCGTTTGATTGGGAAATTAATTTAACTTACCTTATCACGTCCGACATCACATTTGCAATTCACAAGCTCAGCCAATATATGTCTCAACCTAGGATGCCTCATCTCAAGGTTGTACATCACCTTTTCCATTATTTGAAAGGTTCTCTAGGGCAGGGCTTACTATTTTCTGCCATCTCTGATCCACAATCACACGTCAAACTTCGGGCCTTTTCAGATGCTGATTGGAGTTCTTACCTGGACACACAGAAATCCATAACTGGCTTCTGCATCTTTCTTGGGGGACTCATTGATCTCATGGAAAGCAAAACAACAACCTATCATTTCTCATTCTTCAGCTGAAGCAGAATACATGGCAATCGCTGCCACTGTCTGTGAAGTCATTTGGATCCAACAATTACTAAAAGATTTTCAGATATGTGCAACTTCTCCAGCCGTTATCTTTTGTGATAATCAATCTGCCATCTAGATAGCCAACAATCCCATTTTCCATGAGCGGACGAAGCACATCGAGATCGATTGTAACTTTATCCGGGACAAAATTGTAGCGGCGTTGTCAAGTTGCTGCCAATTCGTTCTCAACATCAAGTTGCTGATGCTATCACTAAACCCCTATGTGCATATGTTCTTCTTCCTCTTTTATCCAAGATGCATGTAAAAAACATTAACATTACATCTTGAGGGGGAGTATTAGAACTTAGTCATCAGCACACTAGTAGTTCAATTATTAATTTAAAATAAATTTTTTTACATAAAAATGAATTATTGTCTTACAAGTTAATTTTTAGTTGAAGCTTGCTACGTAGCCCACAATAAAGTGAAATTTCTAATCAAAGTTTCTGAGGTCGAAATGTTTCATAAAATTTTCGGTAAAAAAATTTCTCCAAATTTTTATTAAAAAATAAAAAAATTGGGAAAACATTTTTTGATTATGGAAATATTTTGAAAGTTTTCGAAACGTGATAGCAATTTAATATCAACCTACCATTTGATTCCAAAATTATAAAAAAGAAAAAAAAAAAAATTAGATTCACCGTGTTAGAAAACCATACATTTTCTTGACTCATTCACAATCTGAACTTTCCAAGCAATTAATTAGTGGGAGACAAAGACTGACTTTAGAATAGTTGACTAGAAAATGTATTCCCATGCTCAACTTTAATTACACCGACAAAACCCTCATTTTCCACGGAAAATTGTTTTGTTGGTCCCAACCTATTGCAGTATTAATTTAGACGTCACTTTTTGAAAACGAGCAAATTAGTTTTCAACATTTTTGCACCCCTAGTCTCCAATGTCATAATAGCTTACATATACCTTTTCATATACTGGAATATCATAAATATTTAAATGATTTCCGACATTCATTGGATACGAATGCAACTATAATAAAATGTTCAGGACCAACTTACCACTAGAACAATGTTTGAGGAGTTAATTGTGAAATTTCCCTAATTTCCACAAGTCTGTAGACTTGCTTAGTCCTTGCACCTTATAAAAAGAGAGCAATCTTTGTCAAAAATATAAGCAACCAAACCAAGAATTTTGAATTATGGCAGTTTATTCACAAGTTCAAATCTTGATATTTTCAATCTTAATTGCATCTTTCTTTGTTAGGTCCTTAAATGCTAGCGGAATTGCAATCTACTGGGGACAAAATGGCAACGAAGGAACCTTAGCAGATACCTGCGCCACTGGAAATTATGAGTTTGTGAATATTGCTTTCTTGATTACCTTTGGCAATGGTCAGACCCCAGTGCTGAATTTGGCTGGGCACTGTGATCCCAGCTCGGGTACTTGCACTCGTTTAAGCGACGAAATCCGAGCTTGCCAAGGTCAAGGAATCAAAGTACTCCTCTCCCTTGGAGGTGGAGTAGGGAGTTACACGCTTTCGTCTCCAGATGATGCACGAGATGTTGCAAATTATCTTTGGAACAACTATTTAGGTGGCCAATCTGGGTCGAGGCCACTGGGGGATGCGGTTTTGGATGGTATTGACTTTGACATTGAGTCGGGTTCAGGCCAATATTGGGATGAGCTAGCAAGGTATTAAACCTCCTCATTTAAAACTTATAAGTTGATCGACAAGTTTGTCTAAATCATGTTTTCAATATGCTTCCTCACATGCAAGTCAAATTCATTTTTCTATCAAAGTCTCGAGATACTCACAATTTTCAAAAATAAGCTGCGATGATACTATAATGCAAGTCTTTTGCTTGCTCCAACATTTAAAAGTTTTAGTAGCGACGAACTCATTTATACAAAATGTCTTCAACAGGGCACTTAAAGGGTTCGACTCGCAAAATGTACACTTGGCTGCGGCACCTCAATGTCCAATCCCGGATGCAAATCTTGACACTGCTATACAAACCGGCCTTTTCGACTATGTTTGGATACAATTTTACAATAATCCACAGTGTCATTACACTGATAATGCTGACAATCTATTAGCTAGATGGAACCAATGGATGTCTATTCCATCCAATCAAATATTCTTGGGATTACCTGCTGCGCCTAATGCTGCGCCTAGTGGTGGATACATGCCACCGGATGTGCTTATCAATCAGGTTCTTCCATCTATCAAATCTTCCTCAAAATATGGAGGGGTTATGCTGTGGAGTAAATTCTTCGACGACGGCTATAGTTCAACCATTAAAAGCAGCGTCTAAAAGAAAAATTGATTGTTTGTTCCTTGACAGGACAGAGATGCATATCCTCGCCATTCATTACTTCGTCACATCTTGACTTTGTTTTATATTTTTAGTGATGCTACTAAAATATTTCGATTTTCGACTAATAAATGTAATGTTACATACTATAAAACAAAAGAAATAAAAAGGGTGAAGCCTTTTCGTTGGATTATATATCTTAGCAGCTGGTATTCTGTTCAAGTTTCTACATAATACTACACTTGATTAGTTTGAAACTCACAATGCAAAGTACCAATGAAAAGCAGGACAGGATTATGACAAAAAATTGAATAATATCAAGGAAATTACCAATACGGTGACTTTACTGGAATAAAATTACAAATTAATGACTTAATTAAAGACTCTCATAAGCGAGTTGCTAATTGTAGGAGTTCTATCCATCTTCCTCTATACAAACATTCTCAATAGATAAACTCGCCCTGTGAACTATCCATACGGCCGCGCCATTCAGGCAAAAGAGTTTGATCCATTTGTAATGTTGACTAGAAATAGTTTGATCTGATTCATTTTATAAATTGGGATGAAATAGAGATGGATTTATATATGCTTGCGTCGTGTAACACATTTTCTTTATAAAATCTCGATGGAGCAAGTTTGGATCATTCTAAGGGACTCAAATTGGAGAAAATATTGTGACTATTGGACCGGTGGTTCCAACCAAAACAGTCCCTCAGCTGTCTTTGGTCGAACATGTTTGGTGTTCTTTAATTTACTTGTACTGTTTTTCTTGCTCCCTTTTTGCAATTCGGATTATTTTCTTGGCAAAAAGAAACATGTTAGAAGGAGATAGCGACCAGTATTGACAGGAGGTGATATAATTTAAAAAAATATATTTTGTGTTTATAAGGTTTATTTTAATATTTTGATAGATTTAGAACTCAACATGACAAAGTATGGTTTAATCCATTAATCCTATTTATGTTTAATTATTAATTCTAAATTTATTGAGAACACGAGTAAAGTCAAAGTAAAACGAAAAGTCATATCCAATTTATTTAACGGTCCATATCAGTTATACCTGTTTACAATCTTAAGACAACAAATACTATATAAAATTCACACACTGTTCTTTATGGAAGCACTATATCCAGCCTGATCATCCCAATACTTGGACCATAGCATCACTCCACCATACTTGGGTGATTTCTTAATCATCGGAAGAATTTTGGCTGCCAGCACTTTCGATGGAATGAACCCACTTCCAGCAGCCTGCGGGGCGGCCGGCAGGCCCAAAAATATCTTCCCTGCATTAATCGATGTTGTCCAGCGAGTCCAAGAATTCTTGATATTACCCGTATTTCCGGAAGTATACTGGCAAGGTGGGTTGTTATAAAACTGAACCCAAACATAGTCAAAAAGGCCCGTATTAAGTGCAGACCCTAGAAAACTATCAGGAAATGGACACTGGGGTGCACCTGTTAAGTACACCTTTCTGCCAGTTCCATCATATGATTTCAAATATCTTGCAAGATCATCCCAATAAAGGGTTGATCCAAGCTCAATATCGAAATCAATTCCATCCAATACAGCGTCGCCTAGCGGCCGAGAAGTAGATGAACCACCCAAGAAATTGTTCCATAAATAAGCTGCTACATTATTTGCATCTTCTTTAGAAGCCAGAGAGTAGCTTCCACCGCCACCGCCAAGGGACAACATCACCTTAATGCCGCGCCTTTGGCAGCTGCGAATTCCATCGCTTACGGCTATACAACCATTCGAATCCGGGTTGCAGTGGCCAGCCAGGTTGATTTCTGGGGTCTGCCCATTGCCAAATTTGTAAAGGAAGGCTATGTTTACATAAGAAAATCTGCCGGTGGCGCAGGTTTGAGCTAAGGTGCCTTCGTTTCCATTTTGGCCCCAGTAGACGGCGATTCCTCCGCCGCCAACGACTGCAAGACAGGTTTGGACTAAAACTAGGGTCAGGAGTAGAGGCATGGCTTGACGTTTATTTGCCATTTTCTTATGGTAGTGAGATTGAAATTTTCAATGGATTCTTTGCTTTTATAGAATTCATAAGGAATTTTTAGTGGACAGAATTTCATTGGTTATCAGTGGAGTTACCCTTAATAAAGTTTAAATTCTGAATCAGTGGATTCTAAAAGAAGTGACAATGTAATACATAAAGAAGTGACAAATAGAGTACCAACATGATTTATTCATCTTGATTGGAAGAATCCTATTAGGACTCTATTGTGTTTAACAAGGAGAACCATTGCATAAACAAGACACTTCAGAGGCAAATTTAAGAAACTTGTGTAAGAAACTGTTGTTTTGTGGCTTTGAAGACAATTATGTGAGAATATGTATGTGGTTGAATCTCATATCGCGCAATAGTTAGCTCCTGTTTGTTTTTCATTCTCTCCATTTTTAGAAAAAATACTACCGTTGTAGGGCCCCACTTTACAGGAATTGTTGACTTCCATCTCACATTATTCTTGAAATTGGTGCTCCAACGATCACAAAATTCATTTTCTACAGCTAAAAAATGGGCAGCAAACATAGACTAAAATTAATTGTTGATTTTGACTTAAATTTTTATCAACGTTTTTAGATAAACCAAACGGGGTCTAATCTAATATTGTACAATTACAACGAATACAACTTAAATATGGATCGTTTGCTATGTCAAATATGGATAAAAATATGAGTCTAAAAATCGATGTATAACTCTTTCAATCTTAAATTGATGTGTGATCATATTTTTACGATATTTTATCCTTTTGACGTCTTCATTTACAAATTGAACAAAATTCATTTTCTACAGCTAAAAAATGGGCAGCAAATAGAGGTTTTAGTCGGTCTCTTTTCTTGTCGCTACATACGGCCCCTATAACTTAGATCCATTCTTGTTTTTGGGATAGTCATGAAATATATATCTACTATCTTAAAGTGAGGCTTGAGAGATATACATACTTTGTAGCAGATTTAAGTTTGAATACTTTGTACTATTTGGGTATTATTCTCTATTATGTAATTTTTAGGATGGTGATTTGACCACAACCAGTTATAGTTCTATTTTTAAAAAAAATCTGGTTTACAATTACATGAATTAAAATAAATCACGAGAAATATGGAAATATGCATAAAACTATTGAATTTTGATGTTTTTTTAATGAAGATATTGTCATGTTGATGGCTAAGATGTTTCCCTATGATATTTGGCCGCTGTACAAATATTCAAGAAATCTAGATAGTCCTTTTGAAAGACACGTCTATTATATATACTTGTGAGTGCTTGACTAGGATCGACTAAAGGGAAATTTTTTTGGAAGTCACATTTTTTTATTTGGATCATTTTGTATGTAATTGTAAAAACTAACTGCCAATCTCACATATCTAATGAGTTGTGAGATTCCTTTTTTTTTTTTTTGCCGACATTAATAATTGTATACTTTATACCTACAAATGCTTGACTTGAGTCGACTAGAGAGCCCACATCTATAAATGTCTAATTGTAATGAATATCGTGCACTAATATTACCTTAATAATCAATTGTTTTCGTTCACAATCCACACTCCCAAATAATTTATAATTTCCGAGCAATTGGAAGTTGTTTTTTATGACGAGGCCCTATTTCTTTCTTCATTATATAAAGGCCTCGGTAAAGTCAAGGGAAAACTGTGGTGTCTGCTCCATTTTGAGTGACAAATATAAATTCAACCAATCTGTATTACCTGATTTTCCAAAGATCATAAACTTGATTTTTGATGTAGATGGATGTGTGAAATAAGAAACCAACACAAAAATGACCATAAAACACGTTGATTCATAAAGATTTAATATCGCAAATTCAGGAATCAATTATTCCTTGATAAGTGCAAGAATACTGAATAATTGATTTGATTATACAATTTTGTTGATTTAAAATGTGAATACCAAGATTGGATCTTGGATAAAACCTCACAATTATAATATA